TCCTGCTCACCGGCACCGGTACCGGGGGTTGCGCCCGCGCCCTGGGCGATGCTCTGCCAGCCGCCGCGGCCGTGGACGGCGATCTCGCCCTTGGAGACGCCGTCGTCAAAGGTGTCCATCTCGAGGTGAATAAAGTCGAGCTGGCCGCCGATTTCGCCCTTGCCGTCGTACCCGCCGAAGCGGAACAGCCGGCTCTTGCTGACGGTGATGGCGGCGCCGCCGCGCGCGGGGCCGGGCGCCGAGGGTAGCTGGCTCCACACCCGGCTCCGCACGTCAAAGGCCCAGAGGTCGTTTGTGCGTTCCCCGTTGGCGAGGCAGCCTGCGTGAACGAAGAAGGTGCCGTAGCCGTCGTCCTCCTCGTCCGTGGCGTTGGCCGCGGCGTGGCCTATGATGGGCGCCTGGGGGATGCCGACGTCGGCGCTGTCGCCCTGGGCCCAGGCGCGCCAGGTCTGCTTTGCGCGGGCGTGCTTGGGGGCGAAGTCGCGCGGGCGGTCGGTGGCGGCGGCGGAGTGGTAGCTGCGCGGGGAGGGCATGGGGAGGTTGGTGACGCCGGGGGCGGGCGGTACGGGGTCGAGGAAGGACCAGGAGTTTGTGCGGGTGTCAAAGACCCAGACGCGGCCGGCCTCCTCGAGGGGTGTCATGTCTGGGCCGCCACGGCCGCCGTAGAGGAAGATGCGGCTGCCGATGACGGCGGTGGCATGGCCGACGCGGGGGCCCGGGACGTCGCCGAGGAGGGGGGGTTCGGGTAGGGCGGGGCCTTTGCCTTTGTCTGCCGCCGTAGGCGCACTTGTGGTCTGCTCGCCAGCTCTGAGGGACGAGTATTCTTCTCCTTCTTCTCCGGCGACGCCTGGTGAGGCGAGAGACACCTCGTCGAGGAGCTGTTGCTTCAGAGCAGCCTTCTCCTCGACGTCGTCGCCGGACGCCTCAGGCTTCTCGTCGTCAATCTTCTCCTCCGTCTGCGTCGTGGTGGGCTCGGGGTCGGCGGGCGGGGTATACTGCTTTGCTGGGGCGGACGTGATCTTGTAGTAGTCGGCACCGGCGCTGTTATAGGGAAGCCTGATAACGTGGACGTCGTTGTCGACGGGTTCGCGGGGGTTGACCTCGCCGCCAAAGACGTAGGCGGAGCCGTTGACGACGTTGACAGTGTGGGAGGAGCGGGCGAGAGGCGGGACGTCGATTCGTTCCCATGTGCCCTTCATGGGCTTAGGGCCGGTGCCGCTGGACAGAGACGGCCTCTTGACATTGGGCATATTGGGTAGGTTCTGCGGGAGAGACTGGAGTATCTCGGTCGTCCGCCGCTTGAGAGCACCAAAAGACTCCATGATTGCTGTCTGGCGCTGCTTCAGGGTATGGAATATCGTATGCCAGGTGATTAAGAGGAAGGAGAGAAAAGAGTGTGGGGAATTGGGTCGAGATGAAGTCGGGTTTGTATGCTGACTGTATTTGCTGATGTGATGTTCGAGGATTGGCCTTAATGATATGACGTAGCGAAGCGGTCCTCTACTCAGCTCAGCTCAGGGTGCCTCTTTTTTGGTGGGTTGTAAGCGGGCAGTGTAAACAAGCTCCGGATGCGGATCGAACGGCGATGAATGGGTGAAAGAGGGAGCAAGAAGGGCAATGGAAGGTAAGGCATATGCTGGCCCGACAGATGATATGGGAGATGGATAATTGGCAAAGAGAATTTCCCCCTTTCTAAACTATCCAAGGTAAGGCAGGTTGCCATCTCGTTCTCTCGTATCACACAGGCGCTTGTTGCCAACGGCGCGGGCTTTGTGCGATGGAGGATGGCTCAGCTTGCAGAGGGAAGCGGGGTGCGGGCGCAGGCTTCCAAGAGCTACCCGTCCTGTTCGTCCTATCAGAGATGTCAGATGCACGTCTGCGGTGTATCTTAGCGGACGGAGCCAGGCACCTAGAGGTCGGCAGTGCTGCTGGTGGGGTTTCGTCGCCGGATTCTTAGCAGGGGACCTCCCGTTTTTGGGGGTTCACTGGTAGGAAGAGACCCTGATTCTAGGTGTTCCTCGGAGAACCAAGTTGGAATTGGGACTGAACGGAAGTGTACAGTCAGCCAACAGCCAACCTGTTCCGACCCGGGCAGCGATCCTTGGCTCTCGATCATCGCCGGGGAAACATACTTATCAAAACATGTTTCGCAAACTTTACAACAATAGCCCAGGGCATCCTTTTGTTGATCTCCGGGCTCATGGCAGCCCAACCGGGAGAACACCAATGGTGTCACAACATCTCCCCTCTGAACACGACTCAGCATGATCCCACCTTGGCCCCTCAATAGCTGTATATTGGAGACGGCGATGCCCAATCACGAGCTAATCCCATCGACAAACGATGGAATGCCTTACAGGCCACCCGTAACCAGCAGATATAGATCCCTCGTATTGCTCGTTCCTTGCATTCACTTTTGAGATTTGCGGGCCCCTGTACACCGAAACCGCCGAATCATCAGGCACAGGCCATTTCTATCGCTTTGTTCCTCACCTACCAGCAGCATATGGTCATTGTCTCAACATTCGCTCTTTGGGGAGCTTCAAGGCAGTTTTTGATAGAGATATCCGGTTCGTTCGCTTGGCCGTTTGACAGCTGGGCGCCTTTTCCTCACAATAACTACCTGCCTTAGGTAGGGAGAGAAACAAGTAAGGTCGGTGGGCAGGTATCATCTGCTTCGGTGCCTTCCATAAGATACCTTAAATACAAGGTAGGTAAATACAAGGTAGGTAGTCGCACCTGAAGTATGCCTGTCCGTCGGCTCTCCGGTCGGGGTGACCTCGGCCCCTCCGCGACAGCGACCACCCTGTTCCGCCGGGCCTCTTGATCCACACCAAATCCGGTCCCGCAACCCAGCGCGGTCCGGATCCCGGACTAGGAAAATGGCAATGCCGACACCGCGCCGTGACGATTCGGAACGTACCAAGTAAGCATCCAAAATCACCCGCTGGACCGAGAGAACCGGCTTACGTAGCTGCTTACCGTGGCGTTCTTCCTCCGAGAAGGATTCCGGCTGGATTCCACCCCCTGCTGTTCCCAACGACGCGTGACAGCTTGTAAGTGCAGTTTTGCCCCCTTCCTTCAAAGAAGCAGAGTGTTCCAGAGCCGTGGTCCGTCTTCAGCTTCTAGGTCCGCGATCCTACCTTTCATCAACCACGATCTCGGTAGGGCTGTGGCGTGTTGGACGTCCAGGCTAGCACTCAGCTATGGAGGAATACGAACCACACTTGCGTAAGGCTATCAGACTATCATTCAAGATAGAATCTGAGACCGAAAAGCCCCTTACATTGAACATAGTCATTGAAGAACATCGTCATCAGTAGAAGCCAAGGGGAGAAAGTAAGACCTGGAGGGCTGCATCCTATGCTGGAACACGAGGCGGCGTACAGTAGCGCAGCAGAGAGAGCGTAAATGCCGGCACAGAGAGCCTCAGCCGCGAAAAGGCAACCTACCTACCTACCAGGCAGTAGACCTTTCCATTCCATCCAACTCTCCAAGGTCCAAAGCAGTAAGATGGCCGCCTCGCGCCGCCAAAGCTTTCACCATCGTCGTCATAGATCCCCAGCCCTGTTGGTTGTACCTTGTTCTTGGGGGCCATGCCGCCATGCCATGCTTGCCATGATCACACATACACACCCCGATTTGCAACGTACCATCCATCGAGCGCAAAGCTACCCTCAAGAAGGAACACATCCGCGGCACTGCCCACGCATGGAAGGGGATGAAAAGAGCTCATCTAGATAAACGCTGCAGGCGCAGAGCCATCCATTTTGGAGCGCCGTGCTTGCATCGGTCGGCTAACGTACCCACCGTAGCAGCCGCCGCGGCGCAGTCACCAAAAGTGAAGAAAAAGAAAAGAGTAGGAGTCGCAGGCTGCGAGATGCTCGTTTCGCTTCGCGCACTCGCGCGCGGGATGGGGGGAGGGGGGGGTAGGTGTGGGCAAGGACTCAAGACTTACACCGTAGATGGCTGTCCGTTGCTGGCAGACCAGCCCAGCCCCCCAAAGCCGGAGAACCGTTGGCGGTACGCGAAAGAGCTGCGTTGCGTGGCTAAGCCCCCCCGTCTCCCCCTTCGCATGCGGCACGCGGCGCGGGTGGGATAGCATGGCACGCATGGTAAGGTAGGGTAGGTAATCACTCTGTTCCATTCTCTGGGTGCTGATGTGTTCGAGGGAGTTCAGCTTTGCATAGACCGGCCGGCCGGTGTGTCCAACGCGCACTAGTGCTGACGGCTTTTCGGTTCCGCCTTGAGGAGAGCGTGGGAGCTTCCCACGCTTCCCTCCCTCCCCGTCCCGTCTTAGCTTTCTCGGTCTCTGTCTCTCGATCCGTATCTTGTCCTTTTTTTTTTGACCTCCGTGTCTCGTATTCTCCTTTCCTCTACTACCTAGTACCTAGCGTTCCATCTGGGCCGCGTCGCTGCGGCCAACAGCCAACACCAGCGCGCAACCACCCTATGGGTGTCTGGTGGGGAAGAAATGCATAAACGGCAGAGAGAAGAAGAAAAGGGAATAAATCCGGGTTTTTAGATTGTAACTCCGTGTCTCGACACATTGGGGGCCGCGGGGAAGGCAACCGCATGTACTCTGTCTTGCCTCAACGTCTTACACATCTCACACCCCCTCCTTCTCCCTACTCTTCTCTCTTCCCCCCGGTCTTCCTATTCCTACGGATACTCTTTCGCCCTTGGCGAGCCCTACGGATTATGGGATGAAAGGAATGGAAGCGAAGGAATGCATGTCAGAACTTAGATCGATGGGCGATGGACGATGGGCGATGGGCAGCCCAACACGCGCGGCGGGTACGGCTACTTGCCTTCCTACCTCTATCTTTACGTACACCTCCCTAAGGTACCTGCCTACCTACTGCTTCGTTCTACCTCATAGGTTCAAGTTCATTCATGGGAACGAGAGAAGGATCCGGAACAGTTTCCTCATGCAGGAGAGGGCGAGCGTAAGGTACCTCCGTACAGTCCTACAGCCAACAGAAGAACAAGTCAGCATTCTACCTACCCATCCTCGGAGGCTTAGAGTCGTTCCCGTCCACCCGTTTCCTCTCCACCCTCCGTCCCCATCCCTTACGTCGGACGTGTCGATTAGCGCCCAGGGCGGAAAGCTGGGCTGGACTGGGCGGGGCTGGGAAACCAACTTGAGCCGCATGGCTCGGGGTTTCGCTGGATGCCCACCCAGCTCCGGTTCTCCCTCCCAGTGAACGGACCGGTCGCACGCTGTTGGTGTAGTTGTAGGTAGGTGTGGTTTGTGGGATTCTAGTGTGGGACGTGTGAAACTGTGTATAGTGGTGTAAGTGGTCGTCGTGTCGTCGTGTCGTCGTGTATGTCGAGTGGGCGAGCAAAGACGATAGAGCCTCACGGCTGCTTGCTGCCGCTGCCGCTGCCGCTGCCGTTCCCCTCGAACAGCCGCTGGTCAGGCTAGGGGTTTGCTCCAACACACGCCAGCCGAAACTCATGGTTGAAGCAGCCACAGCCGCGTAGACGGGGAGGTACTGGAGGCTGGCGGCTCGGTCGGTATAGAAGCGCGCCTGAGTTGGTTGCTTGGCCGCATCGTGGGAGGACTCTGCGACGGAGAGTTGCAGCGCGGCATTGGGGACTGGACTAGGATGGTATCCTGTTGCATAGATCACGGGGGGAAGAAGGTTGTCGTCTCTCTTGTGCTTGCCAGCTTCAGTTCTCCAGTGGGATACGGGGTTATGGCGGTTTATTCGGAGCCCGGTGGTCCTGTGAGACTGGCATCTCTCTTTTCGCCGATGGTGGCATAAGGTAAGTAGGTAGGTAACTAGTTCCTGCACTATGAGGGGAGAGAGCATTTGAATTGGAATGAGGGTACAGCAAATTGGTATCAATGCAGAAACTATCAAAAAGTGCCAAGTCATGACTATGGATTATATCCTGTTCTCGTTCCCGCTCAAGTATGCCGGCCAACTGTATATCCGCAAAAAAGAAAACAAATGAAAGTCTTTTTCATCAAGTCGCATTACTCCTTCGCGAACTTCCTGATCGTAGAAGCAGAAAACTCCGGCCGTGGAAGGCCAAGCAACTAGAATGTAAAAGAAAAGGTATCTATAAAAAAAGGGGGGGGGAAACTTCAATGAAAACATGAACAAGCCTTGAACTACCGAGATGCCAGTTTGAACAACTCTAAAGTAGCAAGTAACGTATAGATGATCAACAACAACCATGAAGACTGGGTGACGGAGTGTAAATCACTCTTCGTCCTCACCCTCAGCATCTTCATCGGAGCAGACTGCAACAACAATTTCCTTGTGAACAGTTGAGTTTGTGACGGTGCTGCTGCTCCCCTTGCCGTTGCCAGCAGAGGGACCAACCTCTCCCTTGAGCGGGTTAATGAGTTCCCATTCGGCTGTCATGTTTCGTGTCCGCCGGACAACGTAGACATCAGCGCTGGAAGCCCATTGTGTGAGTGTAAGGTCGTGCTCTCCGCCAAAATGGACCATAGGCTCCTTTCCCTCGGCGGCGCGCTCGAGGTGTCGCGCAACGTGCTCCATGCGTTCATCCCAAGCCTGGGGTCCGTTGAAGTCGTGTCCGCAGTCGGCAGCGGGACAGCGCATATATCTCGGAAGATCGCAGCGAATCTTCTCCGCGTCCGTCTGGAGAGCCTTGAGATTCTCGTCCCACTCAGGGGTGGGCTTCTTCTGCTTCTGGGCCTTCCGTACATGTGGCGGCACATGCATGCGGCGAACGTGTTGTGTGTAGAGATCTTTGCGGTTGAAGATGGCGCCGTTTGGTAGAGCGGGTGGCGTTGGTGTGACGGAGCAGGAGGAGGAGGAGGAGGAGGAACGTCGGTTGGTTGGAGGGTTGGTAGTTTTGGAGCAGCCGTCTTGCTCGCAGAGCCAGTACTGGAGAGCCAAGTGTTGAGAGCTTACGTGACGCTTCCATTCGTTCTTGCTGGCAAACGTGGATGGGCAGCCAGCGTAGTTGAAGACGCACACAAAGGGGCGGGTATGATGTTGCTTCATGTGCTTCTGGTGGGTGCTCTCGTCGGAAAAGGGGGTGTTGCACTCTTTGCAATGGATTTTGGGGTTCCTCATCGACGAAAGTGTTGCGTTTAGTCTCGTTGAAGATAGACTACCGATGTCGTTGTTAACCTTGGACCGCTTTCGTTCATGAGGCGAACCGGAGGGGCGAGCCTGAGATCTGGCCGTGGTATTACGGGAACGTTTTCTCGAAGGCTTTGGCTTGTAGTCCAGGTCTTTGTCGTCGTCAACGGCAAGAGGCTCGGCCTTGATCTCTGGTTCAAAGATATTTGTACCGTTCGATTCAGGATCAGGGTAGTTTGGATGGAATGGTAGGTCGGCCATGGTTGCCTCCTGCTTGATGACGGGCTCTGGGGTGATTTGCCGTGACGATAAAGTTGAGTGCTGGGCAATACTGGCCTCATCAGACTCTGAGCAGCAGAAGCTGAAGGTTGCAGTATCAAAGCTCGTTGGGACTACCTCCTTCTCGAACATGTCGTTCACTTCGTAAGGATTAACACAAATATTCCCTTGCATATTCATTCCAAAGAGCGTCTGGGACTGTAGTTGGGGTTCCCAGTTTCCAAAGACCTGCTTATGCTGCAAGAAAGGAGAAGTGGCTGAGTGGTCCGGAGGAGTTGCGGGTAGGACGTCACTCTCCGTGGGTGGGCTATGGGAATCACTGCTGGACAGCGTCTGCTGAGAACACGGGGAACCGTGTCTCCTCTGTGAAGCTGGAGGTAGAGGGTTTGACTCCTTGGTAGATTGGCTTACACCGAGCAAAACTGGGGCATTTTCATGGACGAAGAAGGCTGTTCGTGGTCCATCCATGTATTGTTGAATCTGGTGGGTTTGATGTGTCGGCCATGGAGTTTGGCATTGCGAATGGGAGAAGGATCCAAGGCTAGGGTCGACTGGTGTCGGGGAGCTCGAGGTTGTTGAGCTTCCAAAGTAAGCCATGGGCATCTGGCTGTAACTCTGTTCTTCGTAGTAAGGTACCTGGTCTTGGGTAAAATGTCCTCCATGGACATTGTCATAGTAATAGGCCATGTTGCGTGCTTGCTCAAAATGGAAGATCCGAGGTTCCAGTGGTAGTTAACTCCGACGGGCCAGGACAGAATCCCGAATGTAGACCTTCTTGAAAGGGAAAATGGTAAGGGAGTATCCCAATGGAAAGACGTTGTAGTGTTGATCCGATCGTACTAGGTAATATATCCAAGGCTAGACCAAAGGGTTGTTGATGTTGGAAAGTTGACGGATGTGCCGCGGACTAAGACGAAAGGACGAGGCAGTTATAAGTGAGTGAACAATGCAACAAGTGTAGGAATCTAGAGAGTTGCTGCTTCCGTGCTTGGTCTGAACAGCAAGAGACACGATAATGTCATCGGAGAGCGACCAGCGTGGCGGAGCTCGATGTATATAAGTCAATGAGGTGGGTTGACATATCGGTAGCACAGGGGATGCGGCAGGGCAGTCGCCTAGGCGCACCCAGCTCCAAAAGCTCTGGGAGAGCACTGGGGAGAGCAAGAAACCCCGTGAGAACAGGTACGTATTTTTTGCAGAGCCTCATGTGGGCCAGCGAGGAGTGCGAGAGGGCAGATTGAGAGACGAGGAGGAAGAGGCAAGGATTTGCGGTGGAGGGCCATCATCATCAGGCGCTGCAGAGCGCATATGCACACCCCTGGAGCCAGGACTGTGGCAGGGAATACGTGTGGTTACGGGCTGGCACACCATCAGGGACTAGTCTCTAGTGGCTGCAGCAGATGTATGTATTTTTCTGTATAAAATTATACAGTTCTGGTCTGGCTGGTCCAGCTCCGCTTTGGGGGCCGGTTCGCGAACCACTGTCCGGTCAAGGGTGGCAGATGGAGGGTGGTGTTGAAAGAGAGAGGACGAGGGGAGCCGCCAGGGCTGCGGCTGCGCCTGGTTCGGAAGACGAACCCATGGCCAACGGGACGGGTAGCTTCTGAGCTTGCCTCTGATGGGTTGATTTCGCCATGGCATCCGTTGCCTCCAGGCAGATACCACTGGGTTGCCTTACTCGAAGTTGCCTTGTCTCTGACGAATGGGGAATGACTTCAAAGAACCATCACCGAAGCTCGTCAGCGAATTGCAGTGTCAGTGTCTGCGAGTCGACCCAAGTTGACAACGCAATCCTCGACAGATGGGTCAACAGTTGCGAGACACACTGTCTGTCCCAACCCTTATTTTGACTGCCTCAGCCGCCGCCACAAGGAGGTTGTGTCTGTCAAGAGAGCACTGCGGACGTCACTGATGATCCTTGTTGGGGATGGCCGGTCAGCTGTGTTTCTGTGATATTGGCACTTGGACGTGCTAAGTCGGTCCTCCACAGGCCTGGTAGTTGATCCATTTCAGCAAGTCTGAGCTAGGGGGTTGAATTATGTAGAGCAAGATTTGCATCTGTACGACGTCCTGCAAGTGTCGGACCCTCTCGATTTCGTGGATGACGGTCCGGGTCGAGAAGCTGCTTGGCTTGCTTGGATAGCGTCAAAGGGGTTCAATAGGTAAGACGTGGGAAGAAGGTGTGTGCCGGGTGTTCCGTTGAGGAATGAGGAATGAGGAGTCGGTCGAGACTCGAGATACTTGGCTTCTCCGCAACACCTTTACCAGGTAATCGAAGACATCCCTGACTGGCCAGATGGCGAGATGAATACCGAGCAAAGGTCTCAGGGCGGCATAGAGGCCATGCGCCAGGTGGTCATATCCCCATTTTCCTTGGAAGTGATGAAGGTACGGAGATTGACAAAAGCAAAAATGACGGAGCAGGGGAGAGATGATGGGCGAAGAAGGTAGCAGGGACCGCGCACTCGCGCAGGAGAGAAACAACAGGGGAGTGAAGTTGGAATGGGAGATTCTAGACAGCGCTTGGCCAGGTCATGTCTCGGATTGGAGGATGTCAGAATGTCAGAATGTAAAGCTGCCGTAGCACGTAGCTGGTTTGCCTTGAGGTGGTCGGTCCATGGTTGAAAGTGACGGATACTATGAAGGTAGTGTAGGATGGTGTCTAGGGGCCCGTTGCGGTGGAGAGGAGCGGACAGGAGTCTACTGTGGTACCACTCCACGTAGGTAGGAGGAGCATTGGTAAGTTGACGGGTGGAGGAGGGATGGGGCAAGACGGAGACGGAGGGTGGAACGGACGGAGCCTGGTTGCGTGTGATGAAGATAGAGAGAGAGAGAGAGAGAGAGAGAAAGGAAGAGAGACATTCGGAAATCCAAGACTCGGGAGAGACAGACAGAAGGAAGTACAGCCTAGGATACGTATCAATACCTAGGTAGGCCTAGTCTATAGTAGCCATCGGAAGGTATTCAAACACCTGCAGGCGCAGACGTATGGTAAGGTAGCGATTGCGCGGGTTGAGGGTAGAGGGTTGACAGCAACTGAGCGCAAGGTATCGCATCGCGCAGCTGCGCGAGAGTTCCGCTTGACGTGTCCAGGCCATTGGTCCCATGGACCCATGAGGCATACCTACTCCCGGAGAAGGCGACCGCAGGCTGACTAGCGCAAGTCGCAAAAGGACTGGGCATATGAGTGAGTGGTGAAGGTGGGGGAGACACTGAGCGAGATGGGAAGAGGATCGAGGGATTCGAGAGAAGACAGTCGAGCAGAATTCCAGATACGGACCCCACCTCACCGTCGATGGCTCCATGAGTCCCTTACGATGTACTGCACAGTAGTGTATGTGTTTCTTTCTCCCTCCATGGGGGCCTGTAGACGAAAGATGGCGCCTTCATCGATGCAACTTGTTCGTTGCCTGGAGTATTGGATACTGCCTTAAGGTATGGGAAGAAGGTATCCGCGTTTACTCAGCAGGTACGGAGGAGGTAGTAATGTACTGATTAAGGTACCTGCGAACTGATGGGCAGGCTTTACGTAAGGCAAGGAAGGTGAGCTAAGCAAATGCTACGCAGCGTGACAGCTTCCTTCACTAGATATCCACGCCTGCCACGGACCTTACACAGTAGTTGCCCTGAACCTCAATGCTTGCCGTCAGCCACTGGGCAGAAAAAAAACCTTTCCCGACAATTCCTCCCCTCACCTCTTCCCGTCCTCACATCGCAACGCAACGCAACGCAAATCCTACAACCCGCCAAGGGTGGGTTTTGTGTAACAGTAACCTCCAAAGCCCATCCTGCCATTACCACACGGTCCACGCCACCCATCTGCCACCCACTCAATCCCTCTTTGACTTCGTTATCATTGAGGACGGGACCGTCCCGCAACAAGCTCCATCCCACATCTACATACCCTGCCCAGCGCCTTGTACGGCAAGCCATTCGGCCAACGGGCTTACATACACTGGCACGACTGGGAGGTCTGGGACTGATCCCAGTCCTCCCTACCACCAGCACCCCGGTGCTCCTGGCTTGAACCTTGAAGCCGTCTCCACGTCCCACGAGGTCCAACTATCTGCCCGGATATAGCAAACCGGACGAACTGACGGATGGACGGCGCCACGCTAAAACGGACACTAGACGCAAATATTCGGACTGTCTTCCTGCCCCACAAACACCAACGACCCCCGAACATTATTGATATTGCCAACAACCCTGCCCGCTCGCTGGCTGATTGATTCCATCATCGCTACATACACCTTGAAACACACTTCCTATCACCGCGTAGTCTCCAAAATCCAAATCACAAGAAATGGAACCTCAGCTACCTTGCGCATCCCACCCCCCGGGGTCCTTGGCTCCCGCTCCTCCTTGCCAACAAGTCATTACGACTCAGTGAGAGAACGTGGTTGGTCGTGTCTACCTCCCGGCTTCACTCGCCCAACGCGTCACATCCACAACGGAATCCACACCTTTTGGGGAATGGAAGCCTCCATATCCGTACACCCATTCACTGCAATACTGGCGTGAATCCACTTCCACATCAGCACGCCTCTGCTCCTTTCAGAAAGAGCGAGTCTTGGCATCTCACAGGGCTCCAGGGTCCGCTTAACGATCGCTCCTTCGCTCCTGTTCCCGTCCTTGTCCCGTCCTCTTCTCCCAGTCAACTGGTATGCTACCAATACGATTACCGTTTATGGGAACAGTACACGCACAATTGCACACGTTGTATTCTGGCGCTGATTATCTGAAGATAATCCGTCTACGCGTGTATGGACACACACACCCCAAGAGACCAGCAACCCTGAACTTGAGAAGCACACATCAGCACCCGACTGGGCAATGTGCGAATTTGTGAAGCGCCGGGGGATCGAGACCCCTGGCTCTTTCGGATTTACCTGTCGATCTCTCGTGGGGACTCGACCGACATCGCCGAAGACGAGTATTAGTACGAGAGTACGGAGGAGGAGTTTGCTACCCTCGAGAGAGCTTAAGCGCACCAGAAATCAGAGCGCTTGCTCGTGGATTTGACCGTATGATGGCACGCCATTGCCCCCTTCCTCCTTGTTCCTTGTCCGGATCTGCTGTCTCACCAACAGTAGCTAGCCGAGCAGTTTGACTTTCGTCAAAATCGTTACCTCGCCGATATGCAGCTTTGCGGGAATTCTATTCCAGGCCTACTAGGCGACCACTTGCTCCGAGATTCCTCCTAGGTATCGTCCAGAGCATTGTCAACTTTACTTGCCTGCCGGGGCGGCAACAAGAGATGCAAGGTTAGGGGTTCCTAAGTCTATACGGATACACTACGGATACTCAGTGGCTTCATCTCCCATCTCAGGGCTCATAGGCTCCTCTCCACTGTCTCCAGACCCCAACATCTCGAACAAGGATGGCACGGCACAGACTTCATTGGCCGGCCAAGCCAAAGCTGAACACGAAATCACTACTCCGTAAACCACTGAAATCCTCCCCAGACATCAACCATGTCAAGTCGCAACAGGAGCCAGCTCCGCTGGATCCTTGTTTTTGCATCCATATTGCATCGTTACACAAGTATCCGCAGACAAATTTCAAAAAATGAGCCCGCCCATTCCTCGGCCTCGACGCTTCAAGAAGAGGCAATGAGCCCTGTCTGTCAGATTCGCGGCTGTTACATCAACAATTATCGGGGGGCTCACAGTCCAAGCAGATCGCGCCTTCGCAAGTCTATCATGAAGCCATGTCTTGACTCTTGAATCCTCAATACACGCGGGTCTTGCAGCATTGTGCGTGTGAGTTGCACGCGCGAGTTTGGAGGACTGGCGCAATTCGCGCAAATACAAGTGTTGTTAAACTGGCGCGGAGTGCGCGGCAATTCTATTCCTGTACGCAAGACTGCGTGCTTTACACCAGTCGACGCCATTAACGCCAAAGTCCTCTTCCAGGGCCCTGCTCGCTAATTAGGCATCGGGATTTTGAGACCTGCTTCTTTGATTCACCAACCCCTTGCCTCTCAAATCGACAGATCAGAAACGAGATAGATCTTGGGCAGCTCTAATCACTTCTACTCGGCAAGGCGGAGTCGTGTTGGTGGTCAAATGTTCTGTTATGAAACGATCTGCAAGCATCTACGGGGAAGGATTCTCCCAAAGGAGACAACACGCCCGTGGTGGTACCAGCTTGTTGGTCCAGGACTCCAGTACAGCGTCGACAGATGATCCAGATCGAGGCCTTCGTGTAAACTTTGCGTTAACGCTCTCAAGGGTTTTTTATCTTCTCGTGGTTCTCTTCATACTTGCCCCCTGCAGATGGCCTGACCAAAGTTGGTCCTGTAGGGTTTCTCTCAAGGCCCATTACAAAGTAGGATCCCCGTGACATTCAAAACTCGGGCTTCTTCCGGGGTCAAGATGTGCCTGGTCTTTTTGCGGCCGCCCATAAATGATCAGTAGATGGTGGCATGCGAAGTTGGGCCAGCTCACGATGGCACATTAACCAAGAAGATACCCACCGTCATTGCGTGAGTTTGTTGGATTCGGATCGGCGGGATCCATGACAAGAGCTGAAATATCTAGGCTTGCTATTGATAGTCTGGGGACTGATCTTTCTCTAAACTAGCTTTAGAACAGCATGGTGACAGCAGGTCAGTACCAACCCTCGCGTAGCGCCCAACACGGTGATCGCTTATTGTCTCGGGACTGCATATTGTTGGTCAAGGCCTAGGTCGACCAACAATATGCAGTCTATAATTGTACTGATTGGACGGTGGTATCGCCTACCATCTACGGTGACTGCGAATACTGTGCTCACTCATTCTCAGCTGTTATCTGGTTGTCGGAAACGATCCTGCGACCATATTTGACCAATATCAGAGCGTACGGCCGTTAACTCTACCCAGGTTCTCAGCAGCTCCATCGCGTGACTGAGATATGAACAGTCGAATCAAGGTAGCCGCCAGGATACAGAAAGCGAACTCTTTCCTACGTACATCCAACGTTCCTCCATCGACTCAAGTTCCTCGGTTCCTTTTCCCCAAACGACCAGCGAGCCACCCCGAAGCATGAAGCATTGTGACGACACACGCACATCCCTACTAGATCTAAGCCCCGGGCTGAGAAGACTTCGGGGGAGATGAGAGGAACCAAGTGAGCACAGCCACGTCTTTCTATCTTCCACGAGGCGTGTTGCATGTACATCATTGCCGTCCCCTCCTCCTCACCCCCCTTGCCGTGGCTGTTTGCTTGCTGCTTCGGACTTGTCTGCGCCTTCTCAATCTTCAACCTTGCCCTGCCCTTGCCCTGCCCTGCCCTGCCTTCGCCATGTCTTTGGCGGCTGGCGCCCCCCTACTCTCTCTCCACCCCCAAGCTTCTTCATGTTACACAACGTGGGTCACTCCTCCAGAGTCCATACAGGACAGTGGTTCGACTTTTGTATTACGGGCCAATACCGGGCTGTTTGCTCCCGCTGAGGCTGGGCCAGCCTGTCTTGTGGCCCCCAAATATATGGAGGCCCGGGGAGGGAGGGCAGCACGGATGACGGGTAGGTTATCTTTACAAGGTGTACCTGGCATGTTTGGATGATGGAGGAAGGGAAGGGGGGAGAGGGGAGGCGCAAAATGAGACCTGTCCCGAAGAAGTCGTGTCGTGGGTGTCAGAGGTGAAGAAGCGTAAGATCTACAGGAGATGGAGGGGGTGTCTATGACCTTTGTTCCCAGCGGTAATGGTGGCGGTGGTGGTGGTGGTGGTGGTCAAACCAGTCCTACGGAATCGGAGCAACGTGTGAGTGAGCAAGGGGTCTGGGGTCCCGGACGGGAATCCGTAGGAACGAAAAGCGCCGCATGTTCCAGTGGGCGATGGGCGCACGCAGCCCTTTTCTTTCTTGACACGGAATCTCGTCGGGAGAAAGCAAACATTTCAATTTACTCCGTACCCAAAGCCCAGGTCCCGGGAACCGCTTGCCGTCGAAGAAAGGCCCGACGTCCCTCTACGGGATCTCTGCTTCTACTGGCTTCTTGGGCCATGCCCCTGAAGATTCTTCGGCGTCGGCCGCTGCGGGACATTTTGGAGTTCGTTTGTACCTCATTTGCTACGCACTGCGATCAAGTGCTTGGACGAGGCCCAAGAAGGAAGAGGAAGAGGAGGACATCTCGGAAAGGAGCTAATGTCTGGTTCCAGGGGTTCTGCTTACTTACATGGTTATTAGTTCTTGACATGTACACACGTAGGCAGACAGAATACATATGCCGTTGCCACAGGCATGGAAGCCATACAACCATGTGATAGATAATCCCTGAAGGAAATAAAGGGCTGACGATGAACGGAAAACTCGGTATGGGCAAAGGGTGCAACGTTTGATAAGTTGCTGACTGTGACATTGAAGGTAGGAAATCATTGCTTGTTGATAGGCGCTACCCGAGACGCCGTTTTATGCCATCCCCTCTTCTCAACTATAACGAGGTAACTTGAAAAATCCAACGCAGCCAAACATCAGTCCCAAAGTTTGGAGCCTGGCCAAATTGAAGCAAAAAGGGGGAATCATTGTCCATCGTGGAGCACTTCCATCGCATGTCATCCTTCGCCCTACCATCATAACTCCATGTCATCCATTACAAAACATTGCGTCAGCGCATGCCTCTCAGGGGTCGCTTTTTGCTGTCGTGTTCATGGCCTTCCAATGTCTCTACACCTGGTTCGAGCTGTCGCCGGTGCTGTTGGCGTCCCTGTCTTCCTGAATCTCAACCCACTCCCCACTGCATTGACCACAACGCACGTGAGAGCAGTTCACACAAGCCGAATGCACTTTATGGTCTGCAGCCCATTTACACGAGCACTAGACGTCATGTTAGCATATCTTGAAAGGCCAGAGCGAAGAAGTCTCAGGGTCACTCACGCATTCCCACATGAATGTCTTCATCCGCTTACGGCCGGGCTGCTCGGCGCTATCGTCCAGGCCCCTCTTTCTTGACTGACGGTTGACACCTCTTCCATTAATCGTCGACTTTCGTGAGCCAGACATGATTACAATGTCATCGGTCGAGTCTGCATCACTCAAGTCGTCCGAAGATCCGATGACGTTGACGCCTGGCGAGTCAGGATCGACAGCTACCCACTGGGAGTGGTCCTTCTTGATTGAGCCGTCACGTCCAGCGTAGTGGTTGTCAATATGATCGAATCTTTCGGCCCAGGCGTTGGCACCCTTTCTGTTGATGTCGACGATCTTGACACAGAAGCCACACCAGAACTTCGGTTCTCCGTTTCGTCCGACGCGACACTCCTCGAGGACCTTCTCGATATTGGAGGAGTCGTCCATCTTGTGTTCCTTTTGAAGATGACTTCGGAAAGTTTCCCGACGATGGCAAACCTTGCCACAACTCTCATTGTCACCTTCAGACCGTTGTTCGGAACACTTCCATACCTCAAGCTGGAAATGCTGGCTGTTCTCGTGACGTTTCCAGTCATTTTTGCTGCCGAACTTCTTCTTGCAACCGGCAAATGTGCATCCATACGGCTTTTCGTGACGCTTCATGTGCTTCCTATCCCTTGGTTAACAGCCGATACATGTGGAATGACAGGAGTAATACGCACTTAAGTTCACACCTGCGGTTGAACACTTTATCACAGGCAGGGTCTGAACACCGATGCTGGCCGTCAGCACTGCCGTTTGTGTTCGGCGTGGATCTCTGGAGAGGCGTTTCCATCTGTGCCTTTATAAATGTCTCAATGACGGTTTTGGGCATCTTTGAGAGTAACTCGAGCATGGCCTGTTCACTCATACTCTTGTTTGGAGATGCGGGAAGAGGCTGATTGAATATTTGCTCTCCCTGGGCCGAATCATTGTTGGCAGGTTGGCTCCTAAGAATAGTCTCGTCCGAAGCACAAGGGATCGAGTTAGTGCTAGTGACCTCGGAATCCAAAGGATCTATCGGAGATGTCTCGAAAATCTCGTTGCGGGCTCTGCTTGGTCCATTGGTATTGAGATTGATATTCAACTCCATGGCGGCAGGAGCGCTCGCGGAATTGCCTTCGCGAGTGAAATTGGATCTTTGACTCCTCCGCTCTCCAATCATGATCCTTGGAGATGGCGCTTTCGAAACTTCTCTAGGCTGCACATATTGGTGGTGAGATTGAGGGCTGTCGCAGACCGATTGGCCATCATGTTCGTGCAATGGGGAGCTGGAAATGGCCTTGTCCGCAGTGGATGATTCAAGACAGACGTTGCGCGCTGAGCCGCCAATCTGCGTCAAGGACGGGTCGATGAGGTTGATCTCCAAGCCATTTCCTGGATGCTGAGGGGAGAGTTGAACATCGTCATACATTGGCGATGGACCATCGCCCCAGGCCATAGAAGGAGCCTGGTAGTACACCTCCGAGCCCACGCCCACACCTTCAAGGACGTCTTGTGTACTTTGTTGATACGTTTCTCCCAATGGCCTCTGGGTAGTTCTGTATCCTGTCAGGCGCCTTGAACAGCTACAAATGTTTCTTGACTTATGTTTATTGACTCACTGGACAACATATTCGCTAAGATCATCCTCGGGATTCAGAACGATACTATGCACCCGCTTCAGGTGTTGCCTGAAATTGTCGGCTCTCGGCCATATCTTGTTCTTCGTTGAGCATGGTCCTTCATAGCAGCGATATCGCGGACCCGAGTTGAAGAGCTCGGGGTGCACACTTCCTCTGTGTCTCTCAAGGTCATTTTGGGTGCCAAACCCCTCTGCACGGGTACATCCTTGAACATCACACTTGAAGGCTTTCTGGTGACGCTGGTGATGTTTGCTACAAAATTAGTATTAACGATGTGCTTCTAAAATGTAGGAGTGCATTGCTTTCGATACTCACTTCAGTTCCGACTTGGTCTTGCAGATAGCACGGCAGTGGTCACAAACCAGCTTACTATCGGCCGCACCATGATGTGTCACTGACATGGGAGTAGCCCCTAGGTTCCAATGAGACTCAGTAGGCGTTGGGCCCAGTTGAAAGTCCAATAGTTGGCCCGAGATACTGTGAGTGTCTTGACTTCGGTCCACATCGTTGAAGACAGATGCGTTATCAACGCTATGCTTGGTCCTACTCTCATAACCAGAGTCTGAAGGCAAGTATTGTGGTACGGTACCGCATTCTGAAGCGAGAGGGCTCCTCCATCCGCCCCCGAAGTGAGCCTGATTGCGGCGCCGAAGATCGCCTGAGACATTCAACTGCTGAGTTTGATGAGAGTCGGGAAAGATTCCGGCGGGAACCCATGGTTGTGAAGTGTCATTTCCATAGAAGTTCATCAATGCCCATGGCACTGGTGCAGTCTTTTGGGGAGGAAAGCCCTGATTTGTCGTCTTTTCCATACTGGCTCGTGTGTCTGAGCCATGCATCGAAGCCATCTGGTTGTGCTTCGTAGGATCCATGATCATAGTCCGAGGCAGGCTTTCATCGACCAGAGGTCGGCAGAAATTGGTTAGGAACCGACTAGATCTGATGACTTTAGCTGGGAACTATTCGCATGGCGTTAGGCACATGTTGTATTGACTAGAGGAAAGCATGTGCACAGTATCAAGTCAACAGGCACTGGCCCGAACTGAGGTTATAACCTCATAGTGCTGATGGGTTTATTTGATGGATAAAGAGAGGAGGATAACCAACTCAAGATTGAACCAAGGTCACCTAAACTTGATACCCAACCACCTTTGTTATGTTCAGTGCGTGGCGAAGAGGTCTTGACTCGACCCGAGTCCAAGTCCACCAAGTATGAGCCGTTCCTCGACTGAATAAGCCTCAGGTCGGCGCAGATAGGGGCGTTGGCCTCTGGATTGATGTTTTCGGACGAAGAGAAATCCGGACGACCAAGCGAAGGGGGTAAGGTTGATGCAGTTCAATTACCGGTCCGTAGTGGGTCGGTCGGAGCCGGGAGAGGACAGTAGATTGCCGGACTAGCAAGACATGGGTAGCTGGGCGACCGAGTGGGCGAAGTATCGCGGGACGCAAATCGCAGGGTGAAAGACGACAAAATGGAAGAAGCGCGAAGGTTTGTTCAGGCGATATGGGCACGGGCAGGACTTGTAGTCATTCAGGCGAGAGTAAAGGCAGTCAGTTGGCGGCCAGGAATGAGGAAGAGGATGAAGGGCGTGACTGATGTTGAGGAAGGTGCGGCTTGGGGGAACAGTTTGGGGGGACCGGGCCAATGAGGCAACCGCGAGGGCGCAGTCATTCGCTTGTCCGCCCTGCTTTTTGGGGAATTCTCGGTGAGCAGAGTACGCCGTCGCCTCATTCCATCCAATCAACGGTCAAAGAAATGTAGGCAACCACACGAGGCAGCCAGCAAGGCAACCACCGCCGCACCTTTCCAGGCGTCCCAAAGATGGTTCGCCATTTTTCCACTTCCATCACCGCCACAACCTGGGCCGACCGAACAAGCAAGAAAAAGCAAGCCGAAGCACAACCGTTCAGAAAAGACAAGGACATACTGACAGATAACGGGTTCGATAAAGACCTTACACGAGGTCCACGATCATCTATTCGAATGCCAGAACACTCCCTCTTCTCAAATCGCCCTGAAACCGGCGGGAAAACGAAATATCTGAATTAACGCGATTGCGAGTGAACGTAAACCAAGGTACCTAACCTGAGAGAGCATATTCTCTGTCCCACTCATTCCTATGCAACACTTCTGCCAGCCACGGACAGTTTACCCCGAATCTGCGCTCTAGGGGCATATCTACACGAGAGTTCGACTCTTGTCTCTCTCGGCTGACACAACCAATTTTGGCTGGGACGCTCAAGACCAATGAGGTCATCAGTAGCCCCTATTTCAATGTAGAGTACAAGGGCTTAGATGGCAACCGCTAGATCATGGGCTATCATCTATTCGTACTTCCATGGTCTCGATAGTGTCAGTCCTTGTCATTGAGCCAGGCCGGAACCACCTGTATGGCTGCGAAAATAAGGTAGGTAGGCGACATCCTCGAGCCTGAGCCGCCATTTTTGGGCATCATCGCATCCAATTTTCGGCCAACTATCAGTCACCTGAGGTTATCCGCACACCGGTGCTCGCTCCTGTTTCCAACAAAGAAGTTGACCAAGCTTGTCGACAAGCTTTACGCAAGGGCGCACACTCTTAACTACGACGCGGCAGCAATGTCTTCATTGCAATACACTGACGGCCGTGAGCACC